ATGGAATTAAATGGACCAGCTTGCTTTGGTCATTATTGTGAAGCAAGTTGCTGAAATGGAAGCTTGCTGCTACGGGGAAGGATTGCTTTGGTCATTATTGTGAAGCAAGTTGCTCAAATGGAAGCTTGCTGCTACGGGGAAGGATTGGTCCTGTCCGCACTCCATGCAATCTTCTATGACTAAGCATCAGCTTTCAGGTGTGGAAGTATTTGGGATGTCCACACTTCTTCCATCCATGTCAAGGCGGAGATTAAGCAAGCAGCTCTCGTAATAGAGGGAAAAAGCAGCCCTCCATCCATGTTCTCAATTCATCAGTCCTCCATCACCAGATCGTGCCTGCTTCAGCAAGGCAGGGCGGAGAAGGCAGTGACAAGGAGATGAGCTTGCTTAAGCAAACAACTCTCGTATTAGAGGGCCAAGAACTTCCCGCGATGCTTGGCTTACTACCCGCCAGAGCGAGCGAGCTGTTCTCGTGGTAGGACTCATTTGCCCAAGTACCCATCAGAGCAAGGAGCAGGGGATTTGATTCGTCCCATCTCGGAAACCTTGCCTATCATCTTGCGCGGAGTAAGCAAACACCGCGGCACCTCTGTTTCTTGGATTTCCCGAGAGCAAGTTGCTTTCGGTGGGAAAATAAAAGGAGAGGGTTTAACTATTGGGGTGAGGTTGATTGGGGTAGAGGGTCTAGGGTTTTATTAGTTAGAGGAATTTTGGGAATCTCATAGTTACTTGTGAGTTTAATCCGAAACTCAATTAACGTCCGTAACTTCCTCAATTTATGTCCAAATTTGACACCGCTTAAACCAGCAGCTAACATTTTTAGTCCTCGTTGATATTAAGATGGTACTTGACCCAAGAGTATAATAGTCATTTTGACTTTTGAGAAGAGCGAGGTGTAACACGCGTTGAGGAGTTAACGACCATGAACTCAATCCGTGAACTGAGCCCGATCCATGTATAAAATGTGAGCTGAAAGGAAGAGAGAAGAGGGAGCCCAAGTGTGAGAAAGTGTCTTCTTCTTCAGATTTTAGCAAGAGAAAGAACGAACCAAAGAAGAAGTGGTGAATTGAGAAGAATCTCCCCAAGAGAAGATCAACACCAGCTTAAAGGAGATCGGAGGCATCACCATGATGGTTTCTACATCTTTCCATTGTATTCTTCCCCTTTCTAGCATGGAGTAGTTTCCTTTTTCACTTTGGTGTTGTGAAACCCTAACTACTTGTCATGTAGTTGTTATGTGGATTGAATGATTGTTTATGGGTGTTGTTTAATTTAATGAATGAGATATTTTTCATGATGGTTGTGCATGTTTATGCTTGGCAATCCAATTGACCATTCTAACCTTAGATGGAAAACCCCCCTTTCAAAGGAGACTCAATTGATTTGGGATTCCTTGGCCTTTTCAAGCCACCTACCTAGGTTAATGCACGACAACCCTCTATCTTGAATTAAACAACGAGGTTAAGTGCGATTAAACCGTCCAACCATTGGGTTGAGAGAGAGAGAGAGTAAGTCAACCCTCGATTGCCTTAACCAAGAGGGCTACTTGAGTAGCTTATAATGCATCCCTTGGTTTGGAAATCGAGAGTGTGGTCAACGACCACTGTTGCATTTCCTAGCGGATCGCGGTCACCTAGGGGAAGCCATGGTAGTAGAGGGGAAGCGTGCCCTAGTGATCCTTCTCATATAGAGCTTTCGAACCCATTCACTTTTGCTTTGCTTTACTTTAAGTCACTTTCGTTTATGATGTCACTTATTTTATTACTAACAAATCTATGTCGTCGATAATATTTCATTTTAGACGACTGGTTAGTAATGTTTTAATAGCGATGGGACAATTTCTGACGACGTCCGACGATTGTATGTCGTCGGAAAATATCTTTTCCGATGCAAATTTATTAATTGTGACGAAAAACGTGTCGTCAATAATGACTTGTCTTTTTTGTAGTGCATGGAGATTAATATTTATCACTAATGGAGATGAAGACATTAATGTTGGTGCAAATGAAGATATTGCACATGATGGTGGAAGTGCAAACAAATCAAAAAGAAAATGTGCAGTGATCTCTAACCATGAGGAGTAAATAGAATGATGAGTTTAAAATGTCTTTAGGAGTTGGTTCGGGTTTGTCTTTTATTTTTTGTAAAATGATTTTAGTCGATGAGTCAGTTACAATGACAAAAAAATGCTATGATATTGATCATTTTAATAATTTGAATTCGCTTATTCTACTAATCAATTTAATGTTTCAAGTGGCTGCAGAATGATGCTCTCGTCCGCTCCTGGACTATGAAGTCAGTCGATCCAACCATCATCTCGGGTCTCCGTTTTATGCATACGACTACTAATATGTGGAGGTCTTTGGCCAAGACCAACTCCGCTACGAGTGTTGCTCGTTAGTTCGAGCCAGAAGTCGTGCAAGATATTTTATCAGATGCGTTACTCACCAATCCTATGTCGACTGAGATCCAATCAGGGAGAAACATGATAAGACTTTTGCAGTTGTTGTCCTAGCTAAAGCCTGAATTTGAGGCTGTTCGCTCCACTCTGATCAATCGGGAGCGTATGGATTTGAGGTTGTTAGCTTTTAATGTTTATGGTATTCATGTTTGGCCATGTGAACAATAGTATGGATCATGAATCATGATACAGATTATGTATTGATAGATATCATTGTATGGTATGAATTTTGTTTCTATTGAATATTAGGTTCTGAGTTTGTTTACAATGACTAGAGTATTTGCAACCAGATTATAATCACCAATCTTGGAATTGGCCTCTTTAGCGACTGTTTTGAAGCTCTTTTAGCGAGGTTTAGATTCCGTTGCATATTTTTTTTTATTAACCACGAAGTAAGCAACGGTTTTAACCCCTGCAGTAAGTAAAATTCTATTGCAAAGGTTTGAACCCTTAGTACAAACAAGTACTTGGTGGATGGTAAACTGTCATTTAGCAAGCGTTTTAACCTCTGCTACAACCCTTGGATGGTACTTTCACCGTGGGTTTCTAAAAACCCTTGCTATCCATAGCAGGGGCGTCATTGACGAGGGTTGGTGCAGGGGTTGGAAAAACCTTTGCTACAATTTATAGCAGATGTTAAAACCAATGACTTAGGCCCTTGGTATAGGCCCCCCTTTTTGTAGTGCGTGTGTTGCAACCGCCCCTGAGATCCGGGGATTCGTCGCGTCACGCTCGGAGTCGCCATCGACCTTACTTGGAGTGGATCGAACACTCTTAATCTGATTTTAACTCTCGGAGTTAAAATCGTTATATGGTCTGCGAATTTTAGAATTTATGGGTTCGGGTGTACGGTTACTTGTGGGAAAGTGTATTCACACCCCACAACGCCTAAAATTGGTACTACTTAAATCGATCAGTTTTTAATGTTGGGTGTTTAAATTGTTAATGATTTAATTTAAAGTCCTATTGGACTATTTAGTTAAAGTAAATATCGTATGCTATCGATGAGATTTACGTTTATTGACATACATCTCGAGAAATGAAAAGTTATGATTAGTTGGACTCAATCGATTAATGATTATGGAAAGATTACACTATAAAAATCATCATAATCTATTACCATGATTTCATTTTATTGAATCTTTTGAAAAAAAATACAAATGCATAATGACGTATTGAAAAAGATATTTAGAAGATTTTGATGTATGAAAATAATGACGATCTAATAGATCAAAATTTCTAATACGTTTAATTGATTACTTATTAAGCATAATAAGGAATAAAACTAGACGAGGGGCTCATTGGTTTGTTGTGGCGAGGTTTAAGGTGGAGGTCGTCGGTTCAAATCCACAAAAGTTCATTTTTTTATGATTTAAGGCTTGGAGGGGCAGATCGGTCATTTAGGTTGAGGCCAGAGGTATATAAGTGAGCTTTAACTGAGGAAAACCCTAATCTAACCTAGCAGCTAGGCGAACGATCGCTCCCCTCTCTCTACCTCGCCCTCTTATTTTTTCTACTCTCTCTCTCCTTCATTCCTCCTTTCTTCTCTAGAGAACGAAAACCTCACTCTCTAAAATACCGCTGCCATTCCTCGCCTCTCTCTTTCTCTCGCCTTCTCTCATGTTCGTATGCGGAACCCATCTAATCGTTAGTGGAAAAACGAACCCAACTCCAAATCCATGGCCGCCCTGCACCTCTACTCTCAATCCGTTCGTTTTCTCGTTTAAATGGTGTCGATAATGAAGAAATCAAAAATCAGGTATGCCACTTTGACATGCATGTTTGTTTTCTTGATTTTTTTTATTCCTATTTTGGGCGAGTTCGGGTTCTCACCCTTTCTGCTTTTTTCTGGTTTTTGAGGGTTGGATCTGGGAGAACTAGACAGCGAAGACCGTAGCAGAGGGTGCTCCGACGACTCACAGATCTGATGAGGATTTTTTTATCTTTTCTATTTGATGATCTCTTAGTTCACTACAAGAAAATCAACTTTTGATCACGGTAAATCCCGTGACTATATGGCCAAATCCCGTGATTAATTTATTAGTGACGGGTAATTTCCCGTGACAAGCGTGCCCGTGATGAAAGATCAATCATTACGGGATATCTAATGACCAAAAATAATCAATCACGGGAAATATCCCGTGATGATATTCCCCTTTAATCACAGGTAAAACCCGTAATTAAGTAACAACCACGAGAAATGCCCCGTGTTTAGAAACAACAATACTACGGTATACCCCGTGACAAGTTGCAATGTTAACCATGATAAAATCTAGTTATTGTAATTAGTTATAATCATGGAATACTACTATTACTATTGATCAATGATGGATACAAGTAACATAGCGTCATTTCAATATCTAATTTATGTACTTAAAATAAAAGGTAAAACAACTATAATGTCATACTTAATAAAAAGATACAAATGTCAATGTAATTACAGTACACGATAAAAGAGTAACAAAATTATGGTTAAGCACAAATCAAAAAGACCATTGATTCCCACTAAATATCAACATTACATGAAGAAAACTATGCAATAAGCATGCAGGTGGTCCTCGCAACGTTGCTCTCTTGAAATCTTGAGTTCCTCTCTAACGACCACCTTAAATTCCAAAAAACATAAACATAGTCACCATGAAGACTTAACCCAAAAACTGCTGCAAAAGCTTCATTGTTGAAGCATTGAAACAAACCGGAAAAAAGCAAGTCATATAGAGGAAACTGTAACACTAATCATGCAAGCATTCAACACATTTTCATCATCAAGACTAAGCACTTCAGCAAATCAAATCACCCATGTTAATGTGCAAATCAACAATGATACGAAAATTTTGCTACCACATAAATTATAACTTGACCAGTAGAGTGACTACATTTTTCTTGCTGCCACAAAAATTGCAGCATGCTTGCAAGTTAAACTACCCCCATCTGATTACAAATTTACAATCTACTGCAAGTCTGATAACCCACAATTTCTGGAGAAATGCATTCGAAGACTTGCATAAAGCTTTTAAGGAATCCAAACAGGCAACAGCTAGACCATCCATGCTGCTTGAACTAAATGAAACTAAACTGTTTTTCTGGTATGTTGACCAAATTATGGTAAAATTGCTGCTTTATCAAGTCCAGCTCAACCATCGATGCTGAAACTCAGACAGGACAACATGAAAATGCATGACAATGAATTAAAGTAACTTCTAGAGTTAAATTCCTTTCGCTAATAATATGAGAATCAACTAATTAAGTGCTTTTCATCCCACAACCATATGAAGGGCCCAATTAGGCTAACACTATTGCTTGCAATCTCTCCGACTGCATTGGGGTTGCTTTATGATCCCTTAGAAACAGTCAGTTCTAAGAACATAATCCTTTGCTTAACACTGCTACTTGATGTACCTAGAAAATCCAACTCCCTTAAATATGAATTCAACCACATCTGGCCACCTCAGAGATAATGACTTTTTTGAATTTAACAACTTAAGCCAGAAAATAGATAAACGGGAAAATCAAGAGATCTACACCCTAGATATAATGGAACCAAGATCCGAATCCTAGATAATGATGGAGATGGATATATATCTGTCATGCCAAAGCAAGCACCATTATCTAATCTAGCAAAAATTTGTGCGGAGGCACCAAAATATTGAAGTTTGAAAATAATAACACAGAATCACAAAAGCGCGAGTATGAGAGAACATAATGTCCACATTACTTATCACCACAAATCTCTGTAGAAACGCCCAGAAAGTGTAAAGGAAAAGAAGGGTTACACAATAGGTGCAGACCTTTATCCACATATCCCCAGTTCCCCCCAGTGTTGCTAAGAAGGGAAATCAATCCCTCTCCCAAAAATAGCAGTAATTCTTCAGAAGATGGAGGAGTTGGTTGCTCCGATGAGAGAAATCAACACAAACCTGCAATATTGGAGTCCAATTGACAGAAAAAAGAAATCAACTATAGGAGGCAAATTGACTGAAACAAGAAATCCCTCAAGGGACGTGAGAAATGAGGTAGGAGAATGGGAGGGGTTGTGTCCCTTTGAGAAGCAAAAAATGAAACCATGCCGCCACTACGCAGGCCAAATTTGACAGAGCAGTCAGCGATTGCTGCATTTCGGTGTCCAACAGAGGGGTGCAGCAGCGAGAATGATTCTATCTATGAAGAAGGTGATGATGGTGAGGAAGTGGTGAGTGCATGGAATGGGACTGACGGCGACGTCGGAGGCGACTGGAGGTAGTGGCGGACCCAGGAATTACATCAAGGGTATTCAACGATGAAATAAATCATCGAAGATTGTCAAATAGCCTTGAGTTCAAATACTACCATAGCAAAAATAAAATTTTACAAAGAAATTTTGTCAAAAAATGAAAACAAGGTTTGTCAAATGACAAGCCTTGGACTAACATAGGTCCGCCACTGACTGGAGGAGAGTCTGCAAGGGAGGGGATTGCGACATAATGCTTAGATCTGAAGAGGTAGAGGAGAAGCCGTCGCATCTGCGTGTCGAGGAGGAGGACGGAACGACTGGAAAGCTGGGGATGGAGTAGATCTAGAGTAGAGCTCCAAAATTGATTCGTCTTTGGGGGAGGGGAAAATTTGTTAAAGCTGAGTTTCAAGCAGAACTTGAAAACCCCAAATAATGGAGGGCGGTAAGTTGAAAATTTTCAGGAGCCAAAAGGTAGAGGGAAATAGCGCCAAACTTTGTTTTTGCTCCCGCCGACTGTGTTTTTCTCCTGTCCATCAATTGTCACAAGAAGCTATTCTTTAACAAACAACAGTTACGGGACGATTTTCCCATGATAAAAAACATACATTGATTACGAGAGCATACCTGTAACCAAAAAGTACCCGTGCTTGAAGATCTATTTGCTGGTAGTTAATGAAGAAAAAGTCCTTGAAATAAGTAATGGAATGGTAAAGTAAAATAATGCTGAATCGAAGAGCTGGAACAGTGAATCTGGGATCTGATTAGCTTTCAATCACTCTTTTAAATCAATTTGGTCCTGGTGTAGTTTGATTGGAGTTGATTGATTTTAAAACTATTGTGAAGAAAGATAAAGAAAGAGATGTCGATAATGGCAATAGTAGAATGATATTGGCAAAAAGAGAAGAGAATAAATCACTAATATATTATTATAACTGGAATATAAACCTGGGTTTTGCTCAATACAAACCTCGTTGGGCTTCTGTTTACCTTGAGATCTTCTGCTTCTATTTGACAGAAAATAAAGAAGGAAAAAAAATTATTTGTATGTCTCTTTCTATTTTGCCAGCGTTTCCATTTTTTGACCGGACTAAGAACAGAAAGAAATTCTGAATTGACTAAGAAGATGAAGCTAGTACTAACAAAGAAAGAAGTGTTTCCCCTTTTGAAAAGTTGTCCCTTCTCCTTGAGAATTGGGCCTCCTTTTATAACAAGCTGAGGTCGTGGTGTCTGAGCTCGGCCAAACCATTTCTTGTTCGACCGGTTTGTCGGTCGGGTCTTTGGGATGGCTTGCATGTCTAATCTGGTCCAAAGTTTTTTTAGCTTGAGCTCGGTTGGGCTTGACTAGGTTTCCTTCGGGCCTGGGCCGAGTTGGGCTGCTTCATATTGCACCTTGAGTTTGGACTATCTGGCCTCTCTTCTTTGCATTGCAGGTCCAAGGTTGATTTGCCTCAAAGGAGATGGTGGGTCAAGCCTGACACTTATTGAACACTTGTAATCTCAACAAAACTCTCATTAGTAATTTGTGATTTGTAATTATGATTGTAATCTTAATAAAATGTGCTTCTTTTTCTATTATTATTATTATTATTTGTGCTGTGCCAAAATCCGATGGATTCGCAATGGCCAATCTAACATCTTACGACATTTCACGGTTTAAGTTTAGAATTTTTAGTTGGATAATTTACCCGGACAAAATGGGGTGTCTACAACGTGGTTGTGTATTTCTTAGTTATAGTGATATTCACAAGGGATATATTTGTTACGATCCCTGTCATATTTGTGTTGGTGTCTCTTGTAATGCCATCTTCTTGAAACTGTAATGTACTATTCGTCCAACACCTTTGAGTCTGCACCTCTGTTTGACACTTTCATGAGTCTACCGACTTTCTCTAATCTTGATGACAATGATACTAATCCTCCGCTAACACTCAATCCGTCCCATGATGCCTCTCCGCCCCACCAGATTCGGCCCACGATGATCTGCCTCTTATGGTGCCTCTTGTTTTTCGGTCACACAAGTCTACTCTTGGTCAAACTCCTCTTCGTCATCGTGATTTTGTCTCTAATCAAGTTGACCCTATCCCGATTCCCACTAAGTACTCTTAAGCTAAGGGAATCCCAACTGGGAAAAGGCAATGTTAGAGACGCTCTTCACACCTGGGAACAGGTACCTCGTCCTCCACCCTCGGTGCCTGTGGTGGGTTTTCGTTGGGTTTATTCCTTGAAGGTTCAACCTGATAGTTCGATCGAGCGAATCAAAGCTTGGGTTGTGGCTCAAGGGTTTACTCAAGAGTATGGCATAACTCCGATGGCTAAGATGGTTTTGGTTCGGCTGTCCTTGTGGTAGTTGCGCTTCGTAGTTGGCCCTTGTATCAATTGGACGTAAAAAATGCATTCCTTCATGGTGAGTTAAAGGAGACGGTGTACATGGAGTGTCCTCAGAGATACTCCTTGGGTACTTCTGATAAGGTTCTTTGTATGGGTTGAAGAAGGTCCCTCAAGCCTGGTTCGACAAGTTCCATTCCACCATAACAGATCTTGGATTTCGACAGATTGTTAATGATCACTCATGTTCACTCATTCTACGTCTTGTGGGATCGTTGTTTTGCTACTCCAATCAGGGACTGGATAACTAAATATAACCTTTATTCTTAAACTCAGCAAAAGGAGCAGCAGGTATAACATATAACATATTTAGAGCGGACAATACTATATATTAGGCAGGAAATCGAAAGTTACGTATAGATAGATGTAGCAGGAATAGTAGTAGTAATTGATTGCGACTTACGATTCAAGAAGAGAGCACTGTGTTTTGTACAATCGCTCTACCACTTCCTCTTCGCCAGAAGCCAATTGAAGACCTAAATGAACTCTAACTCCCACCTGATTGTCGTGCATAGAAGATCTTGAGTAGAGAAGCAGCGAGCCTGATGCCCATTGCATTGCCCCACTTCCTTCTGTGCGATTTTTGAATTGAGACGTCGAAGAGAAGATTGCAGCGGTGGGCAAAAAACCCTAAGGAAAAGAATTGAATGAAATAAGAGTCGTGGATTGAAGATGGTAATTAAGGGGAAAAAATATAGGACTTTGTCGTGACATGGACTTTTCGGTCGACCTGATACTAAAGGCGGTCGACCGAATTGACTAACTCAGTTATGTGAGGTTCAGAGACGCGGTCGACCGTCTACATGAAATGGTCGACCTCTTTGGTGGTCTAACAGAATGAATCGACCCAAATACCTCATAGGCCGACCCTTGTGCACCTAATAGGTCGACCGCATTCGTACGAGGTCAACCTGATAGTTCGATCGAGCGAATCAAAGCTTGGGTTGTGGCTCAAGGGTTTACTCAAGAGTATGGCATAACTCCGATGGCTAAGATGGTTTTGGTTCGGCTGTCCTTGTGGTAGTTGCGCTTCGTAGTTGGCCCTTGTATCAATTGGACGTAAAAAATGCATTCCTTCATGGTGAGTTAAAGGAGACGGTGTACATGGAGTGTCCTCAGAGATACTCCTTGGGTACTTCTGATAAGGTTCTTTGTATGGGTTGAAGAAGGTCCCTCAAGCCTGGTTCGACAAGTTCCATTCCACCATAACAGATCTTGGATTTCGACAGATTGTTAATGATCACTCATGTTCACTCATTCTACGTCTTGTGGGATCGTTGTTTTGCTACTCCAATCAGGGACTGGATAACTAAATATAACCTTTATTCTTAAACTCAGCAAAAGGAGCAGCAGGTATAACATATAACATATTTAGAGCGGACAATACTATATATTAGGCAGGAAATCGAAAGTTACGTATAGATAGATGTAGCAGGAATAGTAGTAGTAATTGATTGCGACTTACGATTCAAGAAGAGAGCACTGTGTTTTGTACAATCGCTCTACCACTTCCTCTTCGCCAGAAGCCAATTGAAGACCTAAATGAACTCTAACTCCCACCTGATTGTCGTGCATAGAAGATCTTGAGTAGAGAAGCAGCGAGCCTGATGCCCATTGCATTGCCCCACTTCCTTCTGTGCGATTTTTGAATTGAGACGTCGAAGAGAAGATTGCAGCGGTGGGCAAAAAACCCTAAGGAAAAGAATTGAATGAAATAAGAGTCGTGGATTGAAGATGGTAATTAAGGGGAAAAAATATAGGACTTTGTCGTGACATGGACTTTTCGGTCGACCTGATACTAAAGGCGGTCGACCGAATTGACTAACTCAGTTATGTGAGGTTCAGAGACGCGGTCGACCGTCTACATGAAATGGTCGACCTCTTTGGTGGTCTAACAGAATGAATCGACCCAAATACCTCATAGGCCGACCCTTGTGCACCTAATAGGTCGACCGCATTCGTACGAGGTCAACCTGATAGTTCGATCGAGCGAATCAAAGCTTGGGTTGTGGCTCAAGGGTTTACTCAAGAGTATGGCATAACTCCGATGGCTAAGATGGTTTTGGTTCGGCTGTCCTTGTGGTAGTTGCGCTTCGTAGTTGGCCCTTGTATCAATTGGACGTAAAAAATGCATTCCTTCATGGTGAGTTAAAGGAGACGGTGTACATGGAGTGTCCTCAGAGATACTCCTTGGGTACTTCTGATAAGGTTCTTTGTATGGGTTGAAGAAGGTCCCTCAAGCCTGGTTCGACAAGTTCCATTCCACCATAACAGATCTTGGATTTCGACAGATTGTTAATGATCACTCATGTTCACTCATTCTACGTCTTGTGGGATCGTTGTTTTGCTACTCCAATCAGGGACTGGATAACTAAATATAACCTTTATTCTTAAACTCAGCAAAAGGAGCAGCAGGT